GAATTCCACCTCTTTTCCGGCTGGAACCATCGAGGGTGCAGAAGAGAACAAAAAGAAGGTTCCTGCTGTGCCAGAAACCCTTAAGAAAAAGCGAAGGAATTTCACAGAGTTGAAGATCAAGCAGTCTGAGAGAAAAGTTTGCCCGAAGGATGCTTTGAAAGGCAAGGAGGAAGCTTCTCTATGAAAAAGCTAAGCATTACCACAAGGAATACAGGCAGATGTGCAGAACTCAGATTCGAATGGCGAGGATGGCGAGAAAAGCTGGCAACTTCTACGTGCCTGCGGACCCCAAATTGGCATTGGTCACCAGGATCAGAGGTATCAATGGTGTGAGCCCAAAGGTTCGAAAGGTGTTGCAGCTTCTTTGTCTTTGCCAGATCTTCAATGGCACCTTTGTTAAGCTCAACTAGGCTTCGGTTAACATGCTAAGGATTGTGGAACCATATATAGCATGGGGGTACCCAAACCCGAAGTCAGCGAATGAATTGATCTACAAGCATGGTTATGGCAAGATCAACAAGAAGTGAATTGCCCTGACAGATATAACACATCTGCATGGAGGATCTGATTCACGAGATCTATACTGTTGGAAAACATTTCAAAGAAGTGAACAACTTTTTATGGCCCTTCAAATTATCTTCTCCACGCGGCGGAATGAAGAAAAAGACCACTCATTTTGTAGAAGGTGGAGATGCTGGCAACAGGGAAGACCAGTTCAATAGGCTTATTAGAAGGATGAACTAAGGTATCTACCAGGATTATTTTTGTAATCTGGTCAGTTAATAAATGACTGCTTTCAAATGGGAAAAAAAAAACGAATAGGAGAATTCCAACACTTTGATAATCAGTTCATTATTTAGTTTTTCTTATTATTTACTATAACCTGGTAAATTTCATATTTCCATTTGCATAGTTTTGGCTTCTTGTGCAAGTGTCAGTAGGATAAATTCCTACAAGGGGACTTGCTGGATCACAGGCTGTGCACATTTCAGATGTTACCTGGAGGTTAACTAGTGGCCTCCTGATGACAGCTGATTGTGGTATCCTTGGTAAATAGGCTGTGGCTACAAGAGCAGTGGTTTTTAGTGGGAGTGCAGATGGGTGAAGATGAGTGCCTTTCCGAGCATCTTGGGGATGGGAGTGAGCTTGACTAATCTGGCCAATCTCTCCGAGTGATTCTGATATGGGCACCACTGGATTAGAGTTTGTTTCTGTGTTTTCTCCCAAAAAGTATGAATGGTGCTGTAAGAACTGTATTTGGTATTGAGCTCATCAAGGCTGTCATAAAAAGCATCATGGTTTGGGGGTTTGTTCTGCTCAGTAACTCCAAGAGAAGTAGCCAATAGAGCAGAAGAAAGTAACTGTAATAAACTGATGCTAAAAGCATCTCCGGTTTTTGTTGAGAAAATCCTTTATAGGCTCTCCTAAAGAAAGAGTTACCCTTGCTCCCCATGGAACGTTCGGTCCAGACTGCCCTTTGGTGATGGGCATTTTTCTCTAAGTATACACAAACTGCTCATTTTTAACGTATGGAAATGAGAGAGGGATAGGAGTGGGAAATCCACACAGGCACCACCACTTGTGAGTTGTTGCACACATTAAATAACAACCAGCAGCCTACTGATCCCCGGAAATCTACTTTTGTGCTATAATAGGGTAAGCCCGGGGTATCGTTTCAAGTTATAGGACAGTGATACTCAGTAAGTTTTAAGGAGAAAAAAAAATAAAAGCGGATGTTTCTAAGTGGGTGTAGAGACGCTTGCAAAGTTAAATATTCATGAATTAAACTCTTTGAATCACTGTGTACTGTGGAATAAAGAAGCAGTGTGGGTCAACTTCAAAATTCTTGTATTTTCATCTCTGTTGGAATTTGTTGGCAGTAATTCCCCCTTAAAGGTTTATAGTGAATGTAATATGCCATTCTACTGATCAAAGAAAGTTATTTGGTGTCAGAAAGCCACTTCGGAGCCAGAGTGTTTACTGGGTAATTTCTTAATGAGTTCTGGCACATGGTTCTCATCTTTTTAAGAGGGAGGAATGTAGCTCAGAATGCACAAAGTCAAACCATGAGCGTTTTGGCAGATGTGGAGATGCAGCACAGCTGGAGAAAACCTCCCTTCTTTGAAATCTCATATCTCAAACGCTACATCAATTTTTAAGCATGTTCTCCTGCCAGTTCAGATTTTAATATGAACAGGAATTAGGGGATGTTTATTGATATAGTAAGAAAACAGAGCAGAGTCTATTCACTGATTGCCCTTTTTTGTCTCCACAAATAATTTGTGAGGGCAACAGGTGAGGCACAGTGAGGGAGGATGGGAAGGTGCTCTGTTGCTGCTCTATTGGCAAGAAACCCAGCAACCAGGAAATCTGAGGTAGGAATTTATCCTATGACATTTATCCTTCACCTGCTGGACCAACAGTTCTCTGGCTAATTGGAAAACACAAAGCACCGATAAGTATTCTTTTTAAAAATTCTTGTTTTTCGTTATACAGCAATACATGTTTATTATATATTATCCAGGAAATAAAGGAAAAATTGGCAAAGCTGTTGCTCTGTGCAGCTCCCAGATTTCTATCTGTAATGTATCATTGTCTTTCTGGTCCAATATAACTTGAATAAAGATCTCAGTTCCCCTAAGCCACACGATTTCATTCTTCACTAGCAGCCAACAAGCATATATCAGGTTGCACACACTGGGTCAGAAATTGGACCAGTGCTGAAAATACAAAGGGAACAGAGATTTGGTTCCTGATACACAGATCCTAATGGGTATATACATGAGAAACAATGAAACTAGTGATTAAATGTGTAAGTAAGAGAAAAAGTCTGTCATAGGTCACTAACTGCTGGATCTGATTTGTGCTCTCGACCTTGGCTTCTTTCCCTGTGAAATGAAGGATTGAGTGAGATGACATGTGAAGAAACCAACTTGTTTGGTCAGCCTGGGACTTGCCCAGTTTCTGCACGGGAGGTCCATGTCCTAGGAACCCGTTACTCCCAATTTTAAAACTGAAAGTCTCTTGTCCCAGGAGTCCACAAAGTGCTGGGCAGTCTGAGAGTTGGTCAGCCTATTTATAGGACTCCTTCTAATCTTCATCTTCTATGATTTGTTAAAAAACAAAATTCAACTGAGTACATTTTAAAGATCTTATTGGCTTTATTCAACAATTCATGAATTAGGCAGCATCCAATCTGGTAGATAGAAAGGAGCTCTGAGTGCTGTACAAAGTGAATGACTTTTATAGGCAGAAAGGGTGGCAACAAGGAAGTTTTATGAGGCAAAAAGCAGGTTGGTTATTCTAGGATGACTTTCCTTTAGGAGAATGCAGGGGCCTGTCAGGAAGGTTACTTAACTAGTGCTGATCAGGCAATTCGTGATTGTCTGATTTAAGATTCCATTCCTGAGAACTGAAACTGCAATTAAGTCTCAGTTTGGTGACGTGGGGATTACCATAAGTGACTCTATTTTGGACCTGTTGTCACTTTTTTAATCTGATTGTATATTGAGAAAGAGTATGTCACAAGGTTTATATGACCACATGATAAGACACTTAGGTCAAAATACTGTACGTACATTAGCAATACTATTGTTTTCTTCTTAAAAAAAGAAAATCCTAGGGCACTTCGGTGTCACCTTTGGTTAAGCATCTGACTCTTGGTGTTGGCTCAGGTTGCAGTCTCAGGGTTGTGTGATTGAGCCCTGAGTCTGGCTGAGTGCTCAGAGTCTGTTTGAGACTCTCTCTCCCTCTCTCACTCTCCTCCACCCTTTCTCTCAAATAAATAGTCTTAAAAAAAATCCCAAAAGGTAAGTTATTTAAACACATTTTACGTAAAGCAGGCTCTGTATACTAGCTGGTGACAGAAACATTGATATTTTATTTATGGGAAAAATGAGTTTTATTCTTCTAAGAAAATATCTCACAAATAAATATCTGCAAACACTCTGTAGGGTCAGAGAGTTTTGTGCAAACAGCTGCCTTGGGTGTGATTCTCAGTTGGGTCCTCCAGGAATCTGGTGTAGTGGAAAGAGTACTGGCTTAGCAATCGGGCAGCTTTTGCTCTTTTGTTTGCTAGTCATAAGAGCTGGAGAAAATAACAGTATCTTCATTTATAAAATACAAATGATAGCTATCTGGCAAGGTTGTCAGGAGAAAATCACAGAAGATATTGGTATGTGGTAAGTGATCAACAGATGTTTGTTTGTTTCCCTAAGCAATTTGCTTTCCATTGTTTTTATTTTTATTTTATTTTATTTTATTTTATTTTATTTTATTTTATTTTATTTTATTTTATATTTTATTTTATTTTATTTTATTTATTTATGTAGGCCCCACACCCAGCGCGGGGCTTAAACTCACAACCCTGAGACCAAGAGTAGCACACTCCACTGAATGAGCCAGCCAGGCACTCTTCTGTTGTTTTTAAATTAAAAGAAATTGGATCTGATTGGGACATAAGGTAGAAAGACACTCTGTACAGGATCTTATCTAAAAAATATTGAACATAAATATTAATATGTGTATACATATAAATGTATACATATTTATACATGAATATGTATTTACTATTAAAGTTGCCCAAGAGAGCTGAAGCATGTCCTAAATGTTACTCCTCAAGATTAGGATCCAGCTTAGGTCATAGAGTCTTCCAAACCCCATTTAACTCTTGAAAGTAACTATTATAACTGTTGAAAGTAGCTATTATAACTTGGTAAAAACTTGTGTTTAACATAATTATATATATATAAACATATATAATTTAATATAGTAATAATAATAATAAAAACTCGATTTAACTTGTTTAGTATCCATTAAGGCTAATGATTTATTTGGATTTTAATGGCAATAAAAAAGGAGCTATAATTTTGCAGGCAAAACTGTATTCAATGCTGATGCATTGAATAGGTTACTCTAACAGGGTAATTTAAATATAAAATAACTTCCAGGTGGGACCAAAGCGAGGCAGCTGGGCAGGTTTCGTAGCTCCAACAGCAACCATGGCATATAAGGGCCTCACGGTGAGCGTGTTCTGGGGCTTCATTGGCTTCTGCATGCCCTGGTTCATTCCTAAGGGTCCCAACTGGGGAGTTATCATCATCATGTTGATAACCTGCTCAATTTTCTGCTATCTCTTTGGGTTGATTGCAATTCTCGCCCAACTCAACTCACTCTTTGGACCACAGTTGAAAAATGAAACCGTCTGGTACCTCAAGTGTCATTGGTCTTGAGGAGGAAGACCTGGTCTCCAGGCCTCAGTCATTGAGGTCAAGAAGAGAATTCCTCTAGATGCAAAATCAACTCCGAAACCAGACCGCCTTCTTTGACTCGCCTATTTTGGCTATCAGCTGCCTTAAACATTCACACCACATTTGAATATATTATTCCACATGGCAGTATTTTTTCCTGTCTCCTTTTATACGTTTCGATGAATTATGTGCCTACTTAACCTAAACTGTGCTGACTCCATAAAATGTTTATGCACTCTTCTGAGATAGAAGATGCTATTCTTCTGGGAACTACATTGCTCTGTCCTTGGAACCTGTGAATTTAAAGATGACTCCTGCCTGGTCACAACATGGGAATCAGCAAAGTGTTTAAAAACTGTCACAAGACAAGGCAGTCAGTAGGAGATATTCAGAGGGAATATCTGTCCCAACAGAATTACACCAAAGTATATTTTCAGGATGACTTTCTTACTTCTGCCATCTACTGGAATAAATTATTTTTTGGCTTTCTGTGGGGAAAAAATATAAAATAAGTATTTAAACTAAAAAAGTAAAAAAAAAATAAACTAAAAAAGTTTAAATGTACACCAAAAAATGATAGCTAATAAGCTTTTAACTTGCTCTAGTGTGCATATGTTACACAACTGTGGGAAGTAATGGCCTAAAGTAGAAATAATATACAGATGAACAAAACAAAATCTGATGCCATAATGCATCTGAAAAAAAAAAAAAGTAAAAACACAGAGTTTTCTTACACACATTCACTGGTGATTTAAAGGGCAAGGGTACTGAGCTCCTTGAGATGTAGAAGGATTCACTGAGAAGCCGGAGATGGTTAGCTTGTGTTCTAGGTAGCAAATGATAGAATTCCTTCCCTAGTGGTACATTTTTACATTTCTTAGCTAGGAGACAAGTGTCAGTTTGTATTGCAAAGCCCAAGCTATGTTAACATCTCCATGTTCATCTGTCTCTATAGAAAAAGTTGGCCACTGAAAACACAGCATTAAATATTGAATTACCTAGTTCAGCGCTCATTATCTCAATGCTATTGGACACCCTGTGTGTGCATGGGAGTTGTGGTAGACACTGAGAGGAATAATTATGAAGATAAACCGAACAAACGGCAGGCATATTTTTTGCCTTCTAAGAGTTTATAATTTTGCTGCGGAGGTACAGTTTTACAAAATAAAATAGGCAATTTAGGATGATTAAATATGAGTTTTGAAACCATTTCCCCCAGAGTGAAAAGAATGGGATCAGCGCCAACGTGACCAGTTCCAAAGGGATGTTCTAATACTTTAGAAGTTTCCTTAGAGTAGCAAAAACTTTCCAGGAAGTGAAGCAGTTTATAAATAGTTTCACATCTTTGTGGAAATCTACTGAAACCAGCAGAAAAAGAATCCATGGAGCATTTGACAAGACACACCTAATCGAGATCTTAAAAAAAAAAAAAAATCAAGTGGACTTGATGATGTAGCCTATTATCAGAGACCTTCATGCAAAACTACTGATCAGGTGCTTGGTGATAGGACTGCAACCACAACAAGAAAGTGAGATTACAGATAGTGAAATTCTGAAATGCTCTCTTAGGCTGAATCAGCTGTAAGAACACCCTTGTTCTTGGTAACAGATGAAGAAAGCTTATGGAAGAGACAGATTCTGGTAAGGTAGAGGATCTCGGAACAAACATTAAAGATGACATTTCTCATCAGTGGGCATGGGTTTTATTCTGCAGTGTTACAACTGTTTTTGGATCAGATGCTGAGGATTTATTTGTGTCATGGTAGGCATCAATGGAAAAGGTTTTGGGATTTTAGAAAACTACCTTTAAGGTATCTCAACCACATGGTTTGAGGGATTTCAGGGAAGGCTTCTCTTCTCCTGTTAACTCCCATACTTAGGAATAAAAGTGTCTATTATTGCCAACTTCTGTGTGGTGAACATTATTCTTTCCCTTTGTTTCTTTTTGAAGGTGGAATGGCCGGGAATGGCAGCACTGTTATCTCCTTCACACCTGGATCAATGCTTATTAGATCACTTTCCTGTTTGATGAGGTGGATGGGAAAACTTGAGAATGCTGGGGAGTCTGCATGGTGGTGGGGGTTGGAGTGGGGGGGGGACAGAGGCTGCAGAAATGGGGTCAACATCCTGGGATATGTTGGTGCGGGTTTACCAGTTGTTTTTCTGGGCTCTGCTGAATGAAACATGGGATTTGTGTACAAGGATGTGAGAGCTAAGAAATTTCTATCTGGCGTGGGAAATATCTTCTGTCCTAGCTTCCTGGGATATTGTTAGGATGGAAGTAATAGTGAAATGAGCATTATTAGGCTTTGCTGAAGTGTATGATTATAACATTGTGATAGTGGATAAGTTATCAATATCCACCACCACATAAATCTAGGTCAAAGAAAATTTAACCGCAGGGGGAAGAAAATAAATCCATGAGACTGCCTTTAGCAAGGTCACAGAGCAAAATAGTTTCCAGCCCTGAGAACTCGTGATTTCCTTCCTGTTTCTTTTCATCTTTATCCGTTCTGTATTCCACTGTTTGCTCTCTCACGTTCCTTCCCCTACCCTTGCTTGTCTCGGAAAGGATATTTTCTATTCAAGACCTGAGGATATTGCCACTGTTTCGGTTATTGCTTTTGCACTTGTGTAGCAGCTTTTACATTCCCATCTTTTTTAGCAGCTGCAGCCAGACAAACATATGAGTCAGTGGGAGGGGTTTAGAGGAACTGGCTCAGTTCTCCAGGGAGCAGTAACCTTTTGGCAGTCCAACAAACAGAACATTTAAAGTCCAATGACTGCAAAAGCTCTCTCTGTACATGTGATAGCAACTGCAGTTTTCCCAAGGTCTACTGAGAGTTTTTTTTCAGAGGGAATCAGGTTTCTGCCTATAGAGAGACACATTCCTGAAGGCTTAACTCTGACCTCATAGCTAAAGTGGATACAAAATAAAATCTGGAGACAGCTGGGAGGTGATAAAGGGGGGGGGGGGAGGAAGAAGCTTGGGGATATGAAAGTGATGAAAAGGTCTTATTAAATGTTCTCTTTGGGTCTTGTTGCCTCTATACCCTACACTCCAAATAGAGAAGCAAACCTAATCTTTCTCTCTCTGTTTCTCTCTCTCTTTTATTTTTGCAGTAGTTCACGGTACCAGATCTCTTTCTTTTGCACCAGGACCAACCTGGTGGTCACCGGAGGCCTCCTAGAGGGGTAGGCATTTTCAGATCAACATTTTCCACCTCATCAATCTTCCAGCGGTGGCCTCAGCCCACGGGCTCAGCTGTGTCTGTGACTGAAGCTTCCACTTAGGGTGTCTAACTGCTGTTTGCCTTTTAATAAAAGACACCAGTTTGGTCAACCTGCTATTAAGAAGAAAACAAAGATAGGAGTGGGTTGTTGACTCCTACAAGAAATCAATACATGATTTCTTATTTCTTCATTTGCTTACATTGCTCTTCTGTGTATCTTTTGCTTTCATCTTCATTGCTTATGATAAAATGAAAAGATTAAGACTCTTGTGCGGAGGGATGAATCACGGAAGAATTGTTTTTTTGTGGCAAGTAGGAACAGTTGGTTCTTTTGATAAATGAAAATTCAGACAATACTTTCCTTGATACCCATTTTGCTAAGATAGAGTTTCACAATAAAGTCTGTTTATCCTGAAAAAGGCAACAAAATAGTATCTTAGTTAACATAGAAGAAAATGGTAATTAGAGGCCACTTGGAAAGCCAAAGCCACAGTTCCAATAAGGCTGGAAAGTTTTACTTGATAACCCAAGGTGCCAATTGGGGTTCTTGGTTTCAAGTAACAGAGAACCTCTGTCCAACAGAGCAAAGAAATAATTGTTGGAAAGATATTAGGTTTCTCACAATTTGCCAGAGGTCTGGAGATCTGATTCATGAGGAGACTGGGGACCAAGGGAGGCTAAGCAGCTGAGGACACAGCTGGGATCACTCCTCTGGCACTGCCTGCTTAGAATTGGTCTTTATTCCTGCTGTGTTAGCATTGATGTCCCTGGGTACTCACCACCACGCCACTGGCCACTACCCTCTGCTTTCGGGGACAGGAATATTCTCCGGCTCATCCACTTGACCTCTCTCTCTCAAGAATCAAAGGGCCAGTCAGGAGAACCTACTTGGCTAAGCTCACGTCATGTGTGTTTGTCCAAATAGCTAGGGATGCAGCCCAATGGCGGGTAGGGGGTGTGTGGGAGGGATGTGGCAAGAGGTGGGAGGTGAGCATTCATTGTCAGCTCAGTTTTATCTATTCATTGTCCAACAGTGACAAGAAATTTTACTGCTCCCTGCTCTTTACTTCCCCTGTTGGAAGTGAGGCCATCCACCCTTCTTGTACCTTTGCAGTGCTCAGTATATTGGTCTTACTGCACTATTCTCTTTATAATTTATAAGTCTTTTCTCTGACTGGACTGTAAACTTACAGAGATGAGGGATTGGGTTGTGTTTTTAGATTTACCACCTCCCCTGTCTAACAAATATTAGGTGCTTAAAATATATTTGAACAAATTATTACATGATAGGCTGAAATAACAATAATGTATGATAATAACAGCAAACAAGTACTGATGGAACCCTTGTTATATACTAGTCATTTCCTCATGTCATCCTCATAACAATCCTATGAAGTAGGTCCTGTTTCTTCATTTTGTGCTGAGAAACTAAGGCTGAGGATAACTAACTTGTCCTAGTCTGTGTAACTGAAACTGACAGCAGGAAATCTCAGCCCCGGGATGCTGACTCCACAGCCCTATCATCAGAACTGTACTGCCCCCTAGGGGTAAATCAGAGAAGAGGGAAATGGACCCAATCTCAGAGGAGAGAGTTTGCTAGTGTGCAGTTCTCTATTCTTAGATGTTCACCTAGAGTGGATGGTATTTATTTGATGAGAGACAAGCCACGCAAGAGGTTTTTGTTTATTGATATAAAAGACATCATCATTGGAATTTGATATCATCCTAAAGGAACTGGTATTTGATAAT